CAACAGTGGCTGCAGATAGCTTCACGTTGCTGTGCTTTAACCCACTGTGCCACCAGCAAGGGCCCTCAAAAACAATTTTTAAAAGGGACATATAGAAAAAGTAGCAGGGTGTAGTTTTACATGACTAGAACATTTAAATCCTAGCAGAAAAACCAAGAAACACGTCTCAAAGCAATTCATAAAAATTCACCTCAAAGAAAATAAATCTGGAAAAATGTTTTCCTCTCAAACTCAGATTAGTGCCATCAAACACCAACATTTTTAAAAATTCTGATTCAAGATAAGCTGAAAAAGACCGTTTTATAAGAACCTGTGTTTACAAGGGTCCTGGGTTGCCTGACATGTTCATTTACCAAAGCTTTGTGCAAGCAAAAGGCAGAGTAAGAATGAAATAGGTCTGCAGTGTGACAGGGGAGCTGTATGACAGAGTAATTCCACTTGCATGGAAAGGGAAAAGAGCCTGAAATGATAGGCATGTAGGTATCTGTGTATGTAACTGCATTTTAAAAATTGGGGAGACACTCCAAAATATTAAAGCAGCTAAAGAAGCTAAGTTGAAGGGGAGAGTGAAGATTAAATCCTTTTATGAGACATTTACCTGTTACGTGCATTTTTTCACAATGAAACATGCATTCATGTATCACTTGAAGAGTAAGTCAATTCACTGTCGCTGGGTAGACGCATACAATTATCCTACATATTTAGTTCATTTTTTCACTTTCCATTTGAGAAACTTCTGGCATGGATTAGGGTTTTTTTTGTTTGTTTGTTTTTTTAAGAGAACATCTCAGTAAATGTGTATAAAGTGAAGAAGTCAGGTTGGAGTGGACAGTCTGGCCTCACCAGTGAGTTATCTACACATTGCTGAGTGACTCCTCACTCTCAAGCAGCTTATGATTATCTTGAAGGAAATAATCCAGGATTTTCTTCTGTGGGTTGGGCAGGCACCTTCAGTCCAAACCAAGGGACGGCCAGTTCTGCTCCTGTGAGCAGCAGTATTCTTTGGCCACACTTGATAATTAGCCCTGCTTTTCCCAGGTTCTTTGGCAAACCAAACATTTGCATTATCCTATTTTATATAACTATTGCTCCAGTAAAACTATGGCAAAGAATCTTGATTTCTTATCCAGCAAGCATATCCCCTTACACGGAAGGTTTTATTTCCAAATAACCAAATTCTAGGGAGTCAGTTTTCAGTCTTGTAATCGTTGTGGTAAGGTCAAAGGGATGGCTTTGGCTAGTCTGGGGCAGGAGAAAAAGAGTGCTCACTATTGCTGGCATTGAAAAGAATGAAAACTCACAGGAAAGCTATCTCTATATAAGAAAACCTTCAGTCTAAACAGAACTGTCTTTAGAATTAGGAGATCATTAAAAAAAAAAAAAGCAGTCATTCAAGTTTTACATAGAGGTTTATACCAGAGGTTTTGAAGATAAATGAAAGCACAAAGCCTTTATTGAATTGCAGATTATGAATAATAAACCCAATGGTAGGCACTGGGGGCAGATGTGCGTAGAAATGCAATTTATAAAATTTTCAAGGCAAACAATTGACATCTCTGTGAAATCGCCGTTAGCTTAAAAAAAAAAAGCTTCCAGGTGTGCAATTTATTCATAGTATTCATAACCGGTGCCCAGTGATATGACCTCAGGAAATGTCGAGATTTCATAAATCATTTGTATCAAATCTCTTGTTTCTGGTAAATTCCTTAGTGCCTCTGCAGCAGTAACTAGACAAGATTGGAAAGTTCTCAAGATGATTCAAACCTCCAGCACCTCACAGGAGTCCGTATTTCTTAACACAGAAGGCAATGCTAGTCAAAGAAGGAAATAAATAAAAAGGTTATTATGAACAAACACTGGTGTCACCAAAATTTCAACACACATGTATTTTCCAATAAAATTGTTTATCTCAATAGTCCTTCACATTTTATAGCCACAAACTACACTGCCTAACTAACTTCTCCACCTTTCACACCATGCAATCAGATCTTTTTAATGGTGTATATACTATGTGAAGACTTTCATACTTACAAGTCTGGATTATTTTAGTATTAAAATAGGACTTTCTAAAATCCTAAAATAATTTTTTTAAATGACTCTTGAAAATTTCAATATATAAAAATCAGGTGGAGGAGAATCTTAAAATTCAGAGATTAAGTGACAGTATGATAAACAACTAAATGTAAAAGGTAGTCATAAAATGATTTAGGAAACAGCTATGAATTGCACAGAACCCTAAGATGAAGATAAATTTAAACTCAAAGGACACGGCTGACACCAGTGATTTGTCTTTGAAAGGCAAGCTGACACTAAAAGAGAAAGACTAAATAAACTTCACCAAATGACTGGCTTTTGGGAGTGCCTCTCCGAGGCCTCTTCTTTTTACCCACCTACCCCAGGGCCAGCTCATGATCAGTGGTCACCACTTGTTACTATGGCATCTTTAAGATAAAACGACACTAGTGAAAAACTCATCCTGACTCTTTCCTTAGTGGGGAGCATCCCGGTACTGGGACCAGTAGAAGCTGATCAATGACAAGAAGCCAAGGCTCGGCAGAACCCTAACAACTTAAGCTAAAATGAAAAAAAAAAGATTATGTGTAAGCATCAATAAAATCTTTCTCAAGTACACTGTTGAGAACACCTGGTTTCCAGGCACCATCTGTTCTTACTGGTGTGGCTAACATTTGCCTCAGGAAATCCAGGAGACACTGCAGAGGGGACACACCATCGCCTCTCTGGTTCACCTTTTTCTCACCTGTCACCTCTTTCAGGCCCATAGACTATGAAAGGTTAAACTTAGTAAGACAATACTTAAGTGAGCCAAATATTTAGTAGAAAATGTAAAGGCCAAATATTAATGACTAAAAATATCCTTTAAGTAGATATTAAGGTTTGGATATCAAATAGATCAGCACTTTGCAAGCAATACTTCTGGTTAAAAATTTTGTCAGAACTCATATATTGAGCTCATTATCTTTGACTAAAAGAAAAAGTTGCGTAAGCTGTAATGATGCATAATGAACAAGAGGGCTCACAAGAAGTTGGTATAAGAATAGGCTTTTGGGCCAAGTTTTTGAGCTGCTATAAACTATTCTCAAGGTAAAATCCTGCTTTTTTTCTTAGTTAACAAGTAGTACATTAAAATTTTCTTTAACAGGGCCCTCCCTGGTGGCGCAGTGGGTTAAAGCACAGCACTGAGAATCTAAAGCCGCTTCCTCATGAGTTCGATTCCCGCCTGCCCCGGAGGTGACCACATGGTGTGGCAGACCTCTCCTGACCCGCCCGCTGCTCCCCTCAGCAGTGTATTTCGTTGATCTGCCTGTTCTGCACTCCACTCTGACTCTGGTGAATTCTCTCACCCTCCACATCTCTGGCCTGTATCCCAGTTCTGTATGCACAAATAAAATAAAATCTTTAAAAAAAAAAATTTTCTTTAACATTAATTCCACCCATAAAAGCTTTGTCAAATGACAAGTAGCAAGATTTAGAAGCTGAGGCAAGGTGCAGACATAGGCTAAGTACCCACGTATAAGGAGTAATTTACATATCTTTGCCTCCACCTTAATTCTATATACATCATTCTCTATTTCATTCGATAAATATGTCACTGATGAAAACTGGTATAGAGGTAACTACTAAATAACTTTTATACTCACGTAAGTTCAACAGAATCATTTATAAACTATTTTGCTTACAAAACACTTTATAAAATGTTGCTTCCTACTTATTGAAATAGTTTAACGAGCAAGGAGAGCAAGACCTGATGGATAAGAATAAATTCTTATAAATTTTAACATTTCAATATTTATAACAGCAAAATTGGGAATGTCTTCTTTATAATTTAATTCTTGAAAAGTTAATTGATATCCACCAATTTATTATCATCAATCCAAGTTAGTAACTAGTGTTTCTTAGTGAAACACTAAGAAATCAAAATATGATTCTAATTGAAGCACTTGATCAGTTTCAAACTACAGATCAATACTGAAATACAGTTAAGATGGTGCGGTCATCAACAATTAAAACTTTTTATGGCAGCAAAACTTAGTGTAGTACTTGGTGTGATGAGTCCTAGGGAGTTCTACAGAACAATCTTGACAACTACTTCCTAATCCCTGGAGTTTCTGCAAAGGGCACACAGCCAGTCGTACCCTGCTCTGACCTACCTACAGTTCTAGAAATCCTGGAGAGGACGCCATAAGTCAAAGCAAACACAGCTCACACTTACCATTACCTGGGGTGGGGATGGGGTGAGGGGGGAGACACACAGACACACACTATGAGAAGAAAACACATGAAGATAAAAGATTTCAAAGGCAAAAAGGAAAGAGACTATTAAAAATGCTCTCTCTACTGCCCATGTTTCGCTCTGTGAAGACTTCATCCAGGAATATCTGGAGCCAATGCAAATGACCTAAATATTAATGAGCCTCAAAATCAAGTAAAGGTAAAAATACTAAAAATAGCACAAAAATAAAATATGATTAGACATTAAAGATTGGAGGGCAACTAGACGTAAAGCCAGTAGTGCCCAGAGATGAAAGCTACATCTTAAAACCTTGCACAACTTCTCCAAACAAAACAAAGACACTAAAATTCAGACACCTTCACGGACATCGTGAATCTGGAAGAAAAAGGCATTCATCTTTAATCATCGACACATAACCACTCAGGGTTTTTGCTGACACCTCTCTGGCCCATCAGCACTTCCAAAAACATTTAGTGTTTGTTTATTATGACACTTTAAGGAGCTGCAATACCAACCCGGCACACGGCCCCACAGGGAGGCAGGGTTTGTTAAGATTCCCTCTACGAGTGCTAACAAAGGAAGGTCACGATTCATGGATATGGATGAACTGTAATAGCTGAATGACATATTTCTGATATATTCATAAAACCTTCATAGAAAGCATTAAAACTCAAAAAAATAAAAGACAGGAGTCAAATACGGAGATGAAATGTACAAAACAAATGAACAGGCAAACTAAAAGTTCTTGAAAGTATTTTACTTCAGATTGAAAAATGAACAGCTTCCACACTGTTCATTGCAAGATACACAGTATTCACGAATACAATGCTGGTAATTTGAGGAAATGTACACACCTCAATTTTCTCCTTCATGCTTTTTCTTTTAGAAAGATACTGTTTACCAAAAAGAAACTTCAGCAGTACAGGAAAAACTATTTTCCCAATAAATTTACGAAAACCTAAGATTCCCAATGGAATCAAGATTATCTTCCCGCTACCACCACCTTAATATAATCACATGCTTATTGGAACACTAATATCCGCACCCTAAGAGTACATTTACTTTCAACAATGAGGGTGATTCTTTAAAAAAAAAACTTCAGTGTGGTTAATGTAACATGGATCTCGGCAAGTATTAAGTGTCTGAAGTAGGCAGCTAATACTGGATTTAATATTATTTTATAAATAATTGTTCCCATAGCAGTAAACATAAGTCTACACATTCACAATAGTCCTAGAAAATAAATACTGTGATTATGCACAATATGTTATGACAAACTAGTTTCAAAAAACAAAAGCTCAACATCTTGATAAAAATTCTGATCAGAATAAAATGTGACTCTAAAATTTAAAACATTGTCAAAATAATATCACATTTAAAATCGTCCACCATTTACACAAGTATTATGAGTTTCCAGTTTTGGAACACATTTTTCCATTGTGAATTAAAATACGAACACATTGAAAATTGTTGATTTCAGTGATGACATCAGTTTTGGTCTTACTTTAGCATTATTTTCTTTATAAAAAGTTGCACTAAGTGTCCATTATGGTCTGATTGGTCTTCAGTATTTCATAAATGTATATAAAAGAAATTCCTAAAAGCCAATAGTACTTTATATGTATATATATAAAAGAATCTCATCTCCGAAATGGCTGTATTTAACAGAGCCACACACACTGATGCTAAACATAAGAGCTTTCACTTTGGAAGAAAGCATTTTCAGAAATGTCACTTACATTCTATTCGATTAAATATTCCCAGGTGAGTTTCAAACTCAACATGTGATGAATAACAAAATTATACAGCTCATTTGCACTCAAAGCTGACCACAACCAAAATTTACAGTATGATTGAAACAAGTCAATGTTTAAAAAAGTTTTAATTAAAGATAACAATTCCATGAAAGGAAAGGATAAAGAATGGGATGACAAGAAGTATTTGGTCTTAATAAGGCAATACAAAATAGATCCATTATCAAAGACCATTTAATTTTTAAAGATCAACAATACCAAAAGCATAAAGTGGAGTATAAGAAAATAGTTTTTTATAAGTGTGATTTAATTAAAGCTGTTTACAGTTCTCTCCCGCAAGGAGTTAAGCGTGAATTTAAAAAAGAACAGAAGATGAGGAGCCAGCACACGCAGCACAGGGTGAGAGGAGCAGCATGCAAAGTCTGGGGACTCGAGGCGTCACCGCCCCGGGAGTGGGGCCAGACGCGGGGCCTCTTCCCTACCGGGGCGGGGGACTGCGAAGGAAACACAGAGCCGTGTCACCGCCCAAGACGACAGCACTAGAGAGAACAGTTGCACGTTCATTCTTAGAGATGACTACGTGTTTTTCAGTGTTTACACAAAAGTACATCGTACATTTTTTTTTTTTACAAAATAAAATAAACGTCATTTGCCACCATAAACCTTTTCTTTAGAGAGGAAAAATTTTTGCAGCAGGTCACAAGGGTTCTATGCTGAGGAAAACAAACTGAGTAATAGAACTAATCACTTCCCTACATATGGATGTTAAGATGACAATTCAGTTTTGTTTAAACTAATCCTGAGAAAAATCTGTTTACAATTTAAACAGTAATGTTATGTAAAAAGTATTAACAAATCCACTATTACAAATATCAATTTCCTATATGCTCTTCTATATATACACACAATAAAATGGTAAATATATGCAAAAATATTAAAAAAAAAAAAAAACATGCACAGATCACTTTCCCCCTTGGAATCTGGGCTTCCTATAAGATACCTTGGTTTTCCTTCCCACCCCATCCTCTGAAATTACTTTTGTTTCTATCATCCTATCCACACTGAATACTATTTCTCTATAACTCTGCATAAAGCCAATGAGAAATATAATTATTTTACATTCAAGCTTTAAATCTTAAAATGACCCTGTTGAGGCATATGTATGACTTATCAAATGAGCAGCCTTTTTTTTTCCCCCTTTTTTGCTTGCTTTTTGTTTTTGCAGTTGTCAGTCTTCATGATCCATTCCGTGGCGAGCTGGGAAAAAACGCAGTTGCTAAATCAATGTCTGAACAGTGTAAGGCTCCGGATGTGTCCCAGGAGTCCCTATGCGACTGTCCTGAGCATGAGATCACTGCACACAGAAGACAGCCCAGCGCGACGCCGACTATCTGCAGAGGTCTGAGAGGGGGCCGTCCCTCTTGTGTTTCCTCTTTTTGCCATGGTGATACTGATTACTTGATCTGCCTTGATGCTGTTTGTTTGTCATCAAGGAACCATGGCTTGTTTGAGTTGTACCTTGGAAGCCTTTGCTGGAAGAACGGAAGAGCCTTGCTGATCCATGCTGCAGAAAGGAAAGTGGTCACAAAGACATCAGTGTTGTGGACTCAACAGAACACTCGCTGACACCTGGCTCGGGAACGCAGATTTCTTTAGCAGACAGAAAACAATGAAATGGAATGCAAAACTTTCTTAGGGAACCAATCAGTATGGGCCTCCAGGGTGGTGCAGAGATTAAAGCTCTCTGCAGCGCCAGCCAGGGAGCTGACTCCCAGGGCACAGTGGGCCTCTCCTGTCTCATCCGCTGCTTCCCTCAGCTGTGTATTTCAGTAGATCTGCCTGTCTTTCTCCATACTCACCCCCCATATGTCTGGCTTACTCCCCAGTTCTTGTGTGCATAAGTAAATAAGTCCTTTAAAAAAAAAACCAAAACCTATCGTCCAATATACTTCACAATGTGGGGCAACACTAGAAGTTCCTGGAAAGGCAGGTGTACTGAGCTTTCCTGCTGTCACCTGTCACACCAACTGCCCCTTCTGAACAAGCCTGTGTCTGGGGCACATGGTAAGGTTGTAGGGTCGACTGCGGGCCAGCTCTACTACCTATCTACCCCCCTGTACTCAGAGGGTCAGACGGTCTTAGGTTGGAGCCTGGTATGAAATGGCTTCTTCCCTTCACTTTGATTCATCACTTGCAGTTAATAAAATTTTAGGCAACTGAAAGATTTAAAACAGCATCGGTGAGGTTTTTTTTTTTAAGTCAAAACTGATACTAATTTACTGGCTGGCTAACTGTTGTTGATAATTACAATGCAGGCCTCCAGGTATATGAAAGGGCATGCTATTCCCAGATATGCACAGCATTGCCATGAGTTCATGCAACAGTTTCATGTGCATATACTTTGAGTACAACTGAAACCTCTTCATAACTTGATGCAAGTTCTTACGCTGAACCTGTAACAGGCGCATGGAACGGCATATCTTACATGGGCCAGTCACTGACCTTTCACAAAAGCAGATGATGCAGTGGTGTTCCACAAGAGTTTGAGGGCAGCCTATCACTAAAATTACAGTCATGCTTTGGAACCTCCTCACTTAAAAGTATGCTTCAAACCCACCACTTGTGAAAATACGTCTAAGTAATTTGTATTGAATACTGACAATTAAAAACACAGTGCCACCCACCTGAGATTTGTTGGTGCTATTGGATGTGTTAGTGGTTTGGGTGCTCTGCATTTTCCCAACTGCCTGAGATGACTCCAAGGACACATCTTGTGACCCCACTCGGTTCCCAGTAGATGGACGGCAAAGCAGCTGTTTCGGGGTTTTGCATGGTGTCGCATCGGAATCCTAACACAAGTCACATGAATTATAATGTGACAATTAGTAACTTAGACATTCCATATTAAGAAAGAAAACTATTTCTGCCAGGTACTCTCTGGATTAAACTTAAACATTTAGGAGCTAAGGGACGCACATTGAGGGATTTATAAAATAGATTGCTGGACTCTTCCTCCCAGGATGTAGAGTAGCTAATTTTATCAGAGGGCTTCTATTCGCTGTTCAAACCACTGTCCATGCCTGACCTTGTTAATCTGCCTTGCGGGAGCTCACAGAAGTACAAGTATGTTTACAAATCACTTACAGAAAATGAACTATGGTAGAATAGAAAGAGCAAAGGGTGACAGACTAGATTACTGTCTGTCAAACACTGAACCATCAGCTGAAGAGGCTCAACCTCTGTGAGTAACCTCTCCAACCAAACACACTGTGTGGATATGCTGAATGGTCAGTGGGATGAGCCCCACCTGTCTCTAGGCCATCGGGGCAATCACTCTCCTAATTGTCTCTCCTCAAGCTCACCCTTCGTTCTTACACTCTCCCTGGCTTCTCACACTCACACTCACACTCACTCTTGGTCCTGACAGTCCCTACCGAGGCCTCCGCCCCACCATGTCTGCGACAGCCAGATCAGCACTGTGTCTTCCACACCTCTGCTCTAGAAGCAGATTCTGCCTATGAGGAGTTATGACTCATGAGGATACCCATGGTCCTCATCAACAGCATGAAACAATGCCCCTCCCATATTTCAAGACACTTTATGTCACATACTATTAATAAAGTCTAAACTCAAGAAGTGGGTAAGTTCATTTTAAATTTCAAATAAACTTAGAATCAAGCCTGATAAGAAAAAGTAACTATTCAATCACGGTAGAGAGATAGGAAGTAGAGAAGAATCCTTAGGGACTGCTACCAGGTTTCTTTTGGGGGAGATGACAATGTTCTGGAATTAGGTGGTGGTGTACAATAGTGGTAGTACAATATTGTTAATATACCAAAAACCACGGAACCACACATTTTAAAATGGTGAACTTTTGTTATATGAATGATATCTCAATTAAAAACATTAAATCAAGCAGCTCAAAAAATTACTGAGTCGATGAAGACTTATATGAAAAAGCCCATACTATGATTAACTTAACATCAAATTCTGGAGCAGGCAAAACTAATCCATGGTTAAGAAAATCATCATAGTGATTAATCTCTGAGGTGGATCTGAGGACGGACTAGAAAGCAAGCATCACGAGGGACTTTCTGGGGTGATGGCAGCATTCTACACCCAGCTAGGGTTGTAGGGTAAAGAGATGCATGTATTTGCTAAAATTTAATCCTTATATGTCAATTTTATGGCAAAAGAATAAAACTCAGACAGATAATGAACTGTGGTTAATGATGAGTGTTTTCAGTCATCTGAAGAAAGTATACCGGTATCTGTAGATCACTTCGAAATGTATCAAAGAATGAGATGGACTCAGGGACAGAGAGTTGGGTGGTGAGCTGTGTGTCAGAAACAGAAGGCGGGTGGTACAATCTAGGGGTATGCGTGGATGTTCACTGAAATTCTTGCAATTTTGCTGTATGCTTGAAAATGCTAACACAATGTCGAGAAAAGGTACAATTGTGAAAGTTACTGAGGTTCCCAGTTGCATGGGAGGAAATTAGCTTGCCCTCAGCTAGACAGAGCATCTCTAGACTTGAGCTGAATAATAACCGAGCAGCAGAACATCTATGCCCTGGTTCAGAAAAGCCGAGTCCGCATACTTACGACATCGCTAGAGCTGGACTGTGTGGCAGAGGAGGAAGACACTGGACCTGATGAAGAGTTTGAAGAGTGTTTACTAAGAGATTCCGAAGTTTTACTTCTACATTTTCCAAGGGCTTCATTTTCTTCAGATAGATTATTATTACATTTATCTAACTGCTGAGTATCTACTATCAAGGTAACACCATTTCCTGAAAGAGTGGCAAAAGATTGGAAAACGTTTCTTCCCATTAAACACACACAATACAGAAAAGCCTCTAAAACTCAGTCAGTCAAATAAGAAAACGCTCTTACCATTGCATGAGGGCTCAGGTCTGCTCTGCAAGCCCCACTGTTTTGATATCCAATCTCTATACGTGGCAACTTCGTCCGTTACTCTAATTATTCTACCTAATATGCTGCATGTTTCAAAAAGAAGGGGGGAGGGAGGTGCGTTAATTTGAAGATAAAAAGCCACAACCAATTTTGACATGACCAGTGGTTTTAAATCTTTACCTCTCTGTTTCATTGTTGGGATAGTACTTGGCTATTGGCGACACAGCATGACTCAAAACAACGTAGGCATAATCGAAGGCCTGCTTCACCTGCATGGCCCCGTAGGAACTCCTTCCAACGTCATTGCCTTTAAAAAAATGCAGTAAAACGGTAAGCTTGACCCTCTGCTTAATATGAACTACATGTTTCTGAACCCTCTTTGGGGAAAGTGAGGACAGTCCCTGTTCCAGTCAAACTGCCCTAGGCCATCAGTCACCCCACAAATCCCCAGGTTCTTACATGAGGATCACAGTGAGGACATTATTATGGCATATAAACTGCTGTACACAGTCATGCAAACAAAAGAAAAAACTGCCTAGTCTCTCCTGAGAGTGATACCAAACTAAATTGAACATACCTGATTTTTTCTTTCTATTAGCTATATAAAAATTTCCCATATGTAACTATGAGCTTCTTTTAAAAAAAGACTATCTTGCTGTAAAATCTTTGTGTCCTTTGCACAGTCTAGGCTTCTAGTGAGTATCTGTTCAATGAATCAACACACAGAAATATCCTTATCTGTAAGAAGACTTGACAGGGCGGGGGGCTCGAGGCAACTACCCATAGCCTCTTCCTGACTCCTTTTCAAAGTCATGCACTAAAGCAAAGGACTGAAACATTTTTAGCTGAAGGATGATAATGCATAATCAAAATAGTATATAATTATATCAGGAAGAGATACTGCCCAGAAAAATTAGCATACAAACAAGCACATCTAACTTCAGGAAAGCATGCAAGGAATTTATTCTGTCCACTTTCAGGCCAACTAAAGCTGGAAAAAGCAAAGAGTCTAAGCAAAATTCAAAAGGAAAGAAGCACCACCAAAGGAAAAAACGGTCTCTTCGAGCCCTTGGCTCATTAATTTGGAGGCTGAGCGCTGTTCTCTCTGCCTCCGGTTCCTCAGAATCCCATAGCAAAGCCTTGGCTGACAAGCAGCAGGAATCACGAGCAAGGAGGACACCAGAGTAAAGCAGAATGGTCACCACCCTGGAGACACACACAAGCCCCAGCAGTGAATCCCTTTTCTGTGTCTTTCCGTGTTGAATGGATTCTACTACTGCCCTGTTTGGAACATACACCATGTTTTTCTATGGAATCTGTGTTGGCTTTGGTTATGTTTGCTTATAAATTATGTTGATGGGGCCCTCCCCGGTGGCACAGCGGGTTAAAGCGCAGCACTGAGAAGCTAAAGCCACCTCCGCATAAGTTCGATTCCCGCCTGCCCCGGAGGTGACCACATGGCGTGGCAGACCTCTCCTGACCCGCCCGCTGCTCCCCTCAGCAGTGTACTTCGTCGATCTGCCTGTTCTGCTCCCCACTCTGTCTCTGGCGAAGACTCTCGCCGCCCCTGAGCCTCTGGCCTGTACCCCAGTTCTGTATGCACAAATAAATAAATCTTAAAAAAAAAATTATGTTGATGAAAAAGAATGACTGCAGCTGGAAGTTAACCCTCATTTTCCATTTAAAGATAGTTCAGCTTACACTGTGGGGGCTGACAGTGCCCTTCTCAGGACGCCCACACATCCACCAAAGCGCAGTACCTGGTTGTAAAGGATCTTCGATGTAAAGCATCGATGGCCTGTAGCCATCCAGCATGTTTTTCTGTACTTCATCTTTGGCCACATAGGAACCACCATCCTTTATCCGGATGCCAGTCTTTAAATAATTGAAATGTCTTCCATATAATTCAAAAAATTCTATTAAGAGAACACCATAGTTTGTATTGGGGATGCAAGCATCTTCCCTGGGATGTAACTAAAAACACAAAGAAAGAAAGAAAAAAAGAAAATATATTGAACTTTTTTCTAATTCAAGTGGGGATAACAGGCATTCTGATTTTTATGAACAACACTCCTGTGACTCTAGTTTAGCTGAGTTCAGAGGCACGGAAGGAAAGGCTGTCTGTGGCTGAGACGACCCGGGAGTCCTAACAGAGTGGAGCTGGCAGGCCGTGTTCATAGGCTGCCTCGCTCTGCTGGCACAATCACAGGACATCATTTGCACTCGCGACCAACGTCAGGCTGTTGGCAACCCTGTGCCACAACACCCATGCACTGACAATATTAAGACTTCTGATTCATCCTCCCTGGACAGCAGGTCTTAGTTTTACCTAAACGTATTTGCTCAGAAGACATTCTTATATTTGGTGTTTATACTACTGTATGCTCTGAGGAAACCAACCCATACTTCTTCTGCATGTTAAACTATGCAGTGAAAGCCTCAAAAATATGAAAACATATGGGGATAAAAACAAAAATAGGGCCCTACCTGGTGGCACAAGGGGTTAATGTGCAGCACTATGAAGCTTCCACACTGCAGCACGAGTTGCAACTCAGGCCAGGGAGGTCAGTGACCCTGGCAGTGCAGCGACCTCTCGTCACCTGCCCGCTGCTCCCCTCAGCCTTGTATTTCAGTCCATCTGCCTGTTCTGCTCCCCACTCTGTCTCTGGTGAATCCTCTCACCCCCTACACCTCTCCTGTACCCCAGTTCTTGTATGTATGTCTTTAAAAAAAATAATAAATATAAAAACAAAAAAATATTATTTCTGCAGACTTTCAAAACACTCATTTGTTAAATTGTAAAACAACACCCCGTTAAAATAGAAAAGTCATAAGTATTCAAGGGAAATATTCTAAGTAAAGCATGATGTACATTATTTCAAAATAACCCCCAAATAGACTCCCTTTATTAAAGTTCAGTATATTAGCAAAGTGTTCCCATATTACTTACCTGAAGGAAACTGACTGCCATTAAAAAGAGACTATAAGAACCAATTCCACCTGTAAATACTTCATTAAGGTCCCTCTGTAGTAAGAATTGTTTCAATACTAAAACCAAATATGGTAATACAGGATATTTCTGAAAAAGAAATAAAATTACATTTGCAACAAATCCTTTCATCAATAATAGCTAAACATAGTATCCTTACATTATAAACTTTGGTCAAGATGCGCAATGTACTTAATTTTCTACTTTAAGATCAAGTAATAAAAAAGGCTGTACGTAATTAAGGTTTTCCCCCTCACATCTAGAATCTAAAACATGCAGCTACTGGTAACAGTACTCAAACACCCGAGCAGAGAGAGACACAGCAGTATGCACTGATGACACTCATTTAACGCCGCAGCTATATAATATCATATGTAGACAGCTAACAGAAACAGCAACAGGCAAAGGAAATTCTTAAAGCGCTAAACCAATGGGATTTAAAGGTTCACTCTTTGTAGGACTGGGGTCCCTCAGCTATTCTGTACAGCCCATGACAGGAGCAAGCTCCCTGCTGTCGTCTACGTGAGCATGACCACACAGACCTACATGCCATGCGTTCCAGAGAACAGTGACAAGACCTGAGCTGAGAAATATGGTCAGTGAGAGTCCATCTGTCACTCAGGCACATGCCAGTACCTTCTACAAGCCAGAGCTTCGCATAGGGACCCTGAGGGGGACAAGCAGAGCACGCATCTAGGCTGCTGCTGGGGGCTACTACAGTCACTAGAGATTCTCGTCTCTACACGTATCTCTACTCTCTAGACCCCTACAGTGAACACATACTGCTTCCATAGGAAAATAAATTACAGGGCCCTCCCTGTGGTACAAAGGGTTAACACACAGCACCGTGAGGCTGTCCACAGCTACTGCACCACGAGTTCAATCCCTGGCTAGGGAGCTGACACACATCACACAGCAGACCTCTCCTGTCTCATCCACTGCCGCTCTCAGCAGTGGATTTCAGTCAGTCCCCACTCTGTCTCTGGTAAATCCTCTCATCCCTCACCTCCCCCTCGCACCTCTGACCTGTGCCCCAGTCCTGTATACATAAATGAATAAATCTTAACAAAAAAAAAGTCCAAGTAGAGCATAAATGAGCAAAAAAAGACTGGTTCATGAAGGTGAATCCTATCAAGTGAATCTAAGCATTTAAGGTACAAGGGCAACTCACCGTACACTGCCTTTTAATTGGAAAATTTTTTATCAGGCATATTACTTACAATTTAAAAAATTCCTTTGCTGGCAAAAAGAAAATGTAAATATACCTCTAAAAGAGTAGGATTGTGGATAATATCTTTTTTCTTTTCTGCATTCTGTAAATTTATGCAAAAATAGAATGTTTACAGCATAAACAAGAAAGTACTTGTAAGTTTTCTTACCAAAAAAAAAAAAGGGTGAACCCAAAGAACTTCTAATGAAAAAACTGAATGGATAGAAAAGATACTCCACATAAGCCAAAGCAGCTAATGGTCTTAGTTTTAGGAAGAAGGCTGCCAAGCATCTAAACCTTCTGAAATGTTCTGGTGATGATGCTGACCAAATTTCTTTCCTCTCTTATAAGAAAACAGAGCAAGTAGGAACAGAGTTAAACCATTCAAGATAAAAGCAAGGCAATCTGGGCCCTCCCTGGTGGTGCAGCGGGTTAAAGCACTGCACTAAGAAGCTAGGGCCACTTCCGCATGAGTTCGATTCCTGCCTGCCCCGGAGGTGACCACATGGCGTGGCAGACCTCTCCTGGCCTGCCCGCTGCTCCCCTCAGCAGTGTATTTTGTTGATCTGCCTGTTCTGCTCCCCACTCTGTCTCTGGCCCCTGAGCCTCTGGCCTGTCCCCAGTTCTGTATGTATAAATAAGTAAATCTTAAAAAAAAAAAAAAAAGGCAAGGCAATCTGCAGGATTATCTCATGGGGGACTTAAGGGTTCAGTCTAGAAGACGCTCCTGGGGAAGTTCTTATTCTGGCAGCACCCTTTCAGTCCTCATCTCCTTGAGGGAGAGGATCTAGAGCAGAGAATTTTTTGAGATTTTTGACAATCCTTTCTTGAAGTCACATTCTATATCAGTTACTGGTTATTCCAAGAAGATTCAAGGAGAGTAAAACTACTGCACAGAAAAGCACTGTCTGTCTGCAACATGCATTTCAAACAAGTCTAGCAAAGTGTAACGAAACACCATCACAGAGTCTTAAAACAAAACTTCATTCCTAATAGCCTCACCAAGTAAACATCATTAAGTCTCTCACCTTGGTAAAATCTTTGATGAGGTCAGCTGCTCTCACACCATTCTGTACATTAAAGCTGATATCAACTTTCACTTCAGTAAAAGAATCTGTTAATTTAATAATGGGTACCTAGAAAGAGAAGAAAGGTAAAATTAAAATACTTTAAACAACATCAGGGGATAGATGGGAGATGGCTAACCTGGAGGTCTCAACCTGCTCCCAAGAACACAAAACACTGCAAACAACATGTGACAGCTGACTAGGCCTGCTAGATGATTTATTTACATTACAGGTTATACTTTACCTCATAGATTTTGTATTTTTATTAGTTAAGAAATCTGAAAACAGATGAAATAAATCCTTCTCAACATTACATACTTCAGAGAATAGTTCTGTATAAGAATTATGAGTGTCAGAATTATAAGGGTCATGAAACCTTCTGATGGAAATTGCTAGATTCTTAAGTCGCATATAATAATCCACTGGCATTGATCCATTTTGTAATACCATAAAGAACAACAAGAAGATAAATTATAAAAGTTATTCTCAAATTAAAAATGTTAGGATGGTATATAAGATAGTAGAAAGTCTTTTTTTTTTTAAGGGAAAGAAATGCTGTTTGCACCAGGTATTAGAAAATGCAGGTTACGGAGATTTTTCTATCTGCTAAAAAATGGAGTTTCCACATGATCCAGCAATTCTACTCCTAGCTATCTACCCAAAGGACACAAAAACACTGATTCAAAAGGACACCTGCACCCCCATGTTTACTGCTGCACTATTACAATAAAGAAGACGTGGAATCAGCCCAAATGCCCAAAAATAGATGACTGGATCAAGAAGTGGTACCTATACACAATGGAATATTACTCAGCAATCAAAAAATATATATTGTAATTGTAATACGTAAAAAAGAACATTAACTATAAACCAGAGACAATCTATGGGGGAAGAGAGGGAACAAGATCAAAACAGGTGGGAAGAGCACACGGGACTGTGGTGATGGCACATGGGGAAGTGGTGGTGGGAAGCCCACAGGGGTCATAACCGAGATGAAAAAATGTACAAAATGAAGGATGACATAAAAAATACATGTATAATAATAAATTAATAAAAGAAAAATGCAGATCAGCAAAATTTGTATGCAGAACTATATTTCCATAAGCAACAATACAAGTTGTTTTGCTTTAAGAAAATCTAACACGCAAAACTCCAATCCTCTGAAACAGATGTATTTACTTCTACAATGAGTTTTCATGAAGGTTTTTCAATGAACATCCCAGATGAAATTAAAATATGACTTGACTTAGAAAATTTAAATCATGCACAATTTTCAAAACACAAGACAGAACAGTAACATTTTTTTTTGTGTAACTATAAATTGTCCAGTAGTCACCCATATTTTTATGTGGAAAAAAATGTCCTCAGTGTTTCATTTAGAGTATTAATTTTTAAAGAAAAATGTAACCAGAACAAGCTTATCTGTCTCAGAAATTTCACAAGCTCTGCGATCATTAACAGAAGAAAAGTTTCACTCATCAAAATTAATATGATAAATTTCATACACAAGTAAGTAGAGATTTTGAGACAAAATGCTCAAGAACTTACGGTTGCTTTGTCTAGAACTTTCACTGAATCCTCATCTGCAACTTTATGTTTCCGAAGAGCTTCTTCCAAGGTCCAGAGGGGTAGGTTCTCCCACTTCCCAAACACCACAAGGTCGATGTCACTGAACATGGAACACGTGAACAGAAGGTGAAGAAGCTAGAAACTTACATTCACACTCAAAGCCTTCAAATTATATCTCACTGTGTTCCATGAGGACTAATTGTGGTGGTGATTGTTTTTTAGAGGGAAGAGAAGGATGGTAAGTTTCGCTACTTCCTCCTTCCAGTGACTTCACAGAAGTCAGGTCTCAGGAAACAGTGATACTGAAAGGGGCAAAGAAGCTCAAAAGTACCAGTTACTTTTGCTCATAAATATTTCTGATGCTGAAAACAGTGAGGCTTTCCAATGTGGATGGGACCAACTGATTAACTGTGGCTTAGATCATTAAGTGTAAACTAGCAAGATGCAGAACAGTGGCTGTACACAAAGAGAAGAAAACACACTGGCACGCCCTCTCTTCACGTGCACAGCGTGAAACTGTTAACAGTGGTTCCTCTCAGGAGAAGGACGGGGGTCTGGGCTTTTCACTGTTGTTCCTTTGTGCAGGTTTTTCAAATCTTAACTATCTGAATATATTAATATTTAAATAATATATTTGAGTTTAATTTAAATTTCTAGAAAACGTATAATCTTAGGGTTTTGCTAAAGCTCAGACTCTAAGTAAGGGTCACTATTAATGAATTTAAAATGGATTTTTTATGGCTTTTATTAGTCTAGGATTTTCCTCAAGACATTTTAAAATGGGACCTAACAGGATCAAGTTCCAATCAAATGACATGGATTTCTATAGTTAATCTTAGTGTAGTGTGCACCTGAAAGTGTAAGATTAGCTCTCTTCATAGTAAATGTTCTTACCATAACAAAAACACAAATGCAAATAGATGGAATGTCTTCCTTTCTTAAGGACCAGTTCTTAGGGAACAGGTGTTCACCCCAGGGAAGACTTCCAAGCTCCAAAGGGTTACTGCTCATCTGCGAGGGCTGATAAAAGCAGGGTCCTGAAAAGACTAAGATCTTCCTCAGAGAAGAGTTTTGTGCCCTGAATTTCTGGGCCAGCAGCCAGTATATGAGATCTTTAAAAGTGGGACCTGGCATCCAGAGTCTACACAGTATTACCATCTGTGTCAGCGGGCTACCGTACAGGGTCGACTAGCTCCCAGCAAGCTACAGCTAACTGCAAAAATCCATAACAAACGGATTCAGCCACTGCCACATGCTCCCTTTCACCTATCTGTATCACCTCAGTCTAAGGCGATCTGAAGTGACATTCTATCTCAAGGAATTTCAAATAAAACACAGGTAAGTGAATTTTGTTTGTTTTGTTTTTATTCTTACAGATTCAAATCGCTAAAATGAAAACTGCACAATCTTGAAAGCTTAAAAAATGTACTAACCTAGTAGGTAAATACAGGCCAGTTTTAAAACTTCCAAATATCTGGACCTGAAACAGAAAAAAGTATTAAAATATCAGAAGAAAAAGCCCCCAATTTATAGAGAAATGTTGGTTTTTGCTACCCTCTACTGGTACTTTTTGGTACTACAAGAGCATTTTTATGACACTGAAGCAGGGATCCAGGGTCTCTAGGCAGACCTTTGGAATATAGTTTAAACTAACAAGATTCAACCCCAAAATATATAGATTAAAAGAGGAAATGTTCAAAGGTAAGTCTAATAGTCCCCTAGAGTCCAGAGACATGATCACAAAGTTTTACTCTCTGTTCTGTAAACAGGAATTTCCTCACTAGATTCCCAAAGTGGGGCCAGACCATGGCAATCACAGGACAGAGGCTGCCCTGTGGGCCGCTCCACAGAGAACACCAGGCAGTGCCATGACGACATCACGCTGGACGCAGACCTGGGACCAGCCTGTGCTGGGCAGGTGTGCATGCGAGGAGACGCAATGTGGAAGAAAGCGACGGACAGCTCGGCCTGGGGGCCTAATCACAGTCACGCGTTCCTCATGCACCACAAGCACGGATGTAGCCCCCCACCTCAGGAGGAGGACTGATGGAGGAGGAGGGCTGAATCACATCAGGGCTTCTCACCCTCACGCCACAGAACTCGGGGCAGGTGACTCTGTTGTGTGGGGTTGCTCTGTACAGTGGAGGACGCTCAGCGGCATCCATGGCCTCGGTCAGTACGGGACAGGAGCACCTCCCCAGTCACAATAATCAAAAACATCTGGGACACCATCAAATGTCTCCTGGGGGGCAAAGTCACCCCCAGTTTAGAGCCAGATGTAGACCACATAGGGGAAGCCATGAATCATCTGACCCTTTACAAACTACCTACTTTGAAGCATCTCTGTTTTGCCACTGGACAAAAAAAAGTTCCTGGCTCCCCTTTACATAGACCCCATGACAGAGTCTAAAGAAAAGCTATATAGCACAACTTCTCTGAATGAATTGCTTCTTTAAATGAACAAAATTATAAAACTGAACCACCAAAGTACCCTAAAAAGAGAAGTGCTAACTGAGTGCTAAATGCCACAGATAAGCAAGAGGCTGTCTTGAGCAAAGCTGTGTCCCCTGGAGGAGGTTTACCGTGGAAGACAAAGAGTGGCCACAGAAAGAAGCAAGCAGCAGCTCCAGGAAAGGACAGAGCAATTCATGCCTGCACCAGCCTACAAACGGGAACTTCAAGTGATGTAAGAAGTTCCTGTTTGACATTTTCGTTCAGTCATACACAATTACATAACATTTATACAGGCAGGTTGGAACAGAATAGAAATCGGGCTTTGATCATCACACTAACTAACAGATCATTGCAAGGCGGCTTGATTTCTCTTGCTAATAATGCTAGTGACTCAATATAGTTTGCCTTTGGAGACCGCGATTCCACACTGTAAAAAAAAATGTTGTCATCCAGTGCAATACAAATAACCAGGAAGCCCAAATTTTAACAAAATGCAGCTAGGCCATAACCCTACGGGTGCCCCACACCTGCACACGAGGACTGCGTGAGCACACGAACCACCTGTGGCCCCGCCACACAGTACTCACATCAGCGCTGGGCCAGAGCTCCTTGATCACGCTCTCGATCCTATTCACCACCTCCATCCGCATTTTCTCCTCCTCCGGTCTTGGAGACATGTATTCATAAAAATCACTGATTTCTTCATGCAGACTGGGGGGGGGGGGAAGCAGAAAAATTAATATGAGCAAGGCCAATGTAATGAGTGATCTCATTAAATAATCTCGTCTAATTAAGTCTTACAACTCAGCAGATGACTATAGTCAGTGTTCCACCCTGATTATAGCTCACGCTCAGCTAAAATGGGAGCAGAGAATTTAATCAAAAAAGGCAAAATAATTAAGTAAAATAAGGAATTTTACTTAACAGAAGTGTATTAACAGCCCTCATAGGATCCTCTGTCCGGCTGTGCACTCGCTGGCTGGCTGGTGGTGACTTTTACAAAGTTTAAGGGGTAAAGCCTTTGTCTCTGCACTGCTGACCCAGCAGACACAAGCACCAGAAGATCTGGAATCGGGGGGATACGGGCAAGCTTTCTGGCAGTGGGAACTGACCTCTTACCCCTCTGTAATCTGTCCCTCCAAGGAGCAAAACAGCGTGCATTTCATAATGTTTGCTTAGTGAAATAAGCGTCAAATGCACGAGTGAGCCAAAGAACAACAGAAAGACCTGAAAACACAGGCTGGCAGTAAAGGTTCCAGGAAGGAGGGAAAGCCTTCCAGACTTAGAGGCACACACCCAGGAAGCAGGGAGCAGGCTGCACAGGCCTTGGGTAGGGAGAAGCCCCTGGAGAGGACGGCAGGCTTTCAATGATGAGCTCAAAGTCCAGACTTCCCTGTGGCAATGGGGCCTATTTAAATGTTTCTCAGTGTCTAGGGACTGACTTTAAAAATAAAGCATTTTAAGAAGATTCATCTGGCAACTCTGCAAACAATGGATTGGCAAAGAGACAAGACTGAATGCAGGGAGAACAGCTCACAAATCATTACAGCTGCAGCACTGGATAAAGCCCTTGAGGACGGTGGCAGGAGCGGAATGGGCTCCAGAAACCTCACACACAGACTCAACAGCAGGACCCCAGACAGAGCCGGCTGACAACTGAGAGAGGAGGGAGAAAGCCTTGGTGACTGGAGGCTGGGGAAGGAGGGGCAAGGCAGCACTGAGAAGATGGAAGGAGAAAGGAACTAGCTGGCTAGTGAGTTGAATGCAGTCAACAGAAGAACATGGAAGCGGCATTCCTCACAAGCCGGTGCAGCTGTGAAGAGCAACAAGAAAGGAAACCAGCCACACTCGCGCTACACCCGACCAGGTGGGCGCTGGCTCCAGGAGCCAGGTGCGCAGGGGTCACCTCACGTCTTCCAGCATGACGACTGTGAGGGCCAGGAGGTCAGGAGAAGGGCGCTAATAGCAGCAGGTGCCCGTGCTGTGGGAGCCTGAGGGGCAGGGGGGCGTGGCTGGGGCTGGGGGTCAGGCAGGGGCTCTCGAGGTGAGAGGACTTCGAAGGCGTGGGCCCAAGACCGCATGACCTGTTTAGAGCAGGGGACAGGACTCACAGGACCAGGAGACCACAAGTGGTTTTGAGAAAGTCCCAGGCCTACTGTAGGTTGTAACTTTCTTTACATGGAACTTGGATAACATTGAAAAGATTAAGTTTTGGCTTCGTCTGATGCCTGGTTTTCAGACAGTTAAAAAACTTAAGTCTAAGCCTCAGGCCCGGCCTGAGGGCAGCTGTGTTCATGTTGAAGAGTGACCCACAATTTCTGGACTTGACATCCCTGGTCACAACATCAAAGCTGGCAACCAGGAGTCTTTTCAGGGCCTTACTTCTAAAACCTGGACCTCTGGGACGGAATGATTTGTTAACAGTGTAATACTGCAGGAAATCCAGATTTTGCAACTCCAGGGGTTCTGCAGGTGAACCTGCAGTCTTAATGCTTCTGGGGCCTTCAGATCTTTACCTGCTGATTTTAAGTTTACCAGTTTTTAATACATTCTCTAAGGTTATTCCCTTCTGCTTCTTGAAGACAACAGCTAAGACAATTGGTCTTTGTTGGTGACGACACACACGGGTGATTTGGTGATGGAAGCCCACGGGGATTACCACGGAGATAGAAAAAGGCACAAAATGATGTAAAAATAAACGATTATATTACTAAAAAATAAATAAAAACAAAACAAAGCAAAAAAAGAAGTCTTTGTACAGTCCTTGGGCAAGGATGAGGACAATAAACAAACAGCGAAGCGAAACACACTTCTTCTTTAACCAAAACCACTTGTCTCGTATTATCAGAAAGGACATCACTGCAGAAAAATTCCCCTGTAATCAATGGAAAAGCCCCTAAATCTGACCATCGGCAACTCTTTGGAGTCCACTACATGTTTTCTAAGTTAATACAGGTCAGAAAAAAAGTATTTAGTCCAACTTCTAGTTAATCTTCAAGTCATAAGGAGCTGAGTAAGAATTCATTCTCTAAACATTACTGAGTGCCTAAATTCAAACAAAAAGGTTAATCAAACATGATCCTTGTTCTAGGCAATTTCATCATAAGTGAAAAGAAAAAACCCATTTAAAGCAGTTCTGAGGTGCAGGATGTTCCACCCGTGGGCCCACAGGCAGGTGTCAGATGAACAGGAGAGTTGGGGGGGGGGCAGGGGAGGGACTGGGTCACCCTGTGGGGAGTCCCGACACTTGACTGGGCACTAGATGGAGGCAAACAAAGGTAATAAGAGATTTCTGAACTTCGTAAAAAATAGAGAAGATTCTAAAATCTCATTTATCAACAGGATTCTAGGTTTCTAGTTAGTCTGGAGGCAAACTTTTGCAAGTTTGCTAGACAAGCTCTTAAAACAAGACCACCTTATATATAGCATTCCATGGGAACTTCCTCCTCTTTAGGAAAAAAAAGTTCCACAGATTACCCTGTTTTTCTTACTGATGTGCATTTGCCACACTGGAAGAGGGAAAAGAAGGAAAAAGGAGACCTATGAATATTAAAGCAAAAACATCCAGCAAACCCTTGTCAATGGTGTACATAGTGACTGTAATTTTGTATTTTGCAAAAAGCTATTCTGTAAACAGATGATATAAAGCATACACATACAGAGCATGATTAAAAGACACACACACACACACACACACACACCAAGTCATGTCTGCCAGGGTCATCTCCTTACCCACATCAAACACCGACACCAGCACCTATCTTGCCCACACGTACCTAGCAAAGTGCAAAGTGCAAGATGAATTAAGAAATCTTGTACATTCAGGAAATAACTTCTGGTACAGGTTTTAAGCTATCTGACAAGGCCCCCCCGTGGGTTGCATGATTTTACTAGCACAGTGCTATGTTATATGTAAGTGCTCAAAAAAACCTGAAGGAACTGAATCCAGTTTATGGAGTGCCTGCTTCATGCCTGAGGGCATGAGGTCCTAAAAAAAGCTGAAAACTAGACAAACTGTAGTTTGCTTTCACATAGTAATGTCTGTGATGGGCCAGGGTTAATGTCAGAGACAGACTGTCTCTGAAATCATCCAACTACACAAAGTTTAAGCTTTCCCCACATGTGGATCAAAACTCAGTGTGATTAATAAACACTACTGAAGGCTACATACCTAGCCTAACAGTTTCTCATTTTACATTAAAAAATATAACTCTTCTCTGATCTGACCAAAACATAGTACCCTCTATTATGATATAAACGTTTTCTTTATTAAAGGAGAAGTGAGCAGGAAAATAAACCAGCTCTGCGAATAAAGGGAAAGTATAAAATGTAAACTGATTAAATATGATTAAATAAGTGGAGAGGTTGCCCCCACCAAAAAATAAAAAAAAAGAGAGATTCAAAATTAATTTGCTAGCATAAAGTTTACATTAATAGTAAAGTTAATGACAACACAAAAATATAATGTGAGGAGGAGATACCATCAAAAAATAGCTTCTATATTTAAATAAGTCGATCCCAGATAGTTCAAAACAGAAACATGAAAAAGATTACTTTTGCTCTGAGGAATTCTACCACAGAAATGGATTTTATCACACTCATCACTGGCAGAGTGTGGGGAGTAAAGAAACAGCCTTCAAATATTGGGTTTCTCTGGTTATGAAAGAACCCAGTGCACACCTTTTCCTCCATGCTGGGGGTGGAGGTGCATTTAGGGATGGTGGTGTGAGTTCAAAACCAGAGGGAACGTAGCTAACTCCAACCTGCTAACTCCAACCGAAGCAGGCAGATGCCCCAGGGCTGCCCCTCACTCAGCACTGCCGCCTGCAGCCCATCCAGCTGCTAAGAGCTAACCCTACTCACTAATGGGCACCTGCCGGCTGGCAGCACACCTGAGGTCACCTCCATGTCACGGCCAAGCTTTTCAGTTTTGATCATTGAAGCCTCATTGTTTGGTAACTTCATACTTAGATGAAGGCATCCATAAAGTTCCATTCAATCACTGTCAAGAGACAGTCAATAACCTCCCTCCCCCGCCCCCAAATATTTTAAGATAATCAATTCTGCCAAGGATATACGGAAAGGGCAATCGCAGAGTATGTGTGAAAGTATAAGTCACTATAACTTACTCTCCAGAGGCAGTTATATCAACAGCTAATAACATTTATATAAATGTATTTAATTGCCCTTTTCATTAAAAACAGATCTTGATAAGCTATCTGTACTTTCATTATTCACAACAGCTGAAATATGGAAACAACCCAAACATCCATCCACAGATGATTAGATTAAAAAGAAAAGTGGGAACACCTACATCGACATGTTACTCAGTTTTAAAAAGGAAAGCCTGCCATTTGCAATCCTTATGCTGGATGTACCCTTATGCTGAGTTAAATATTGAAGCCAGTTACAGAAGGACAAACACGGCATGATTCCACGCATGAGGAACCTAAAAAAGTCACTCACAGAAGCAGGGACTAGCAAGGCTGGGGTGCTGGGGTGCTGGGGTGGGTCAATGGGAGGACGGCTTCCGCTATGCAAGATGCGTAGTTTGGGAGATCTTTTGGACCGCATCGTGCTTAGAGTTAACAGTGCTGTCACTGTACAGTGACAAAGTTAAGAGAGTGAATCTCACGTTGTGCTCTTACTACAGAGGGGGGCAGAGAGGCACAAGGGGCTATCAGAGGTCTGTTATCTTGATTGTGG